TTTCAACTAAAGATGAAGATCCATTTTTGACCTAGTAAACGTTCGAATTAGAAAAGAGCTATATCTAGTAAAATTATAGTCCTTTGAGTTATCTTTACAACCTAATTTGAATCCCCTCAATTGAATATCGAGAAAGAAAGTTAGAATAAAAATGCTACAGGAGGTGCAGTGTTGAAATTCTCCCAAGAAGTGTCGCTATGACTCTATCATGGTGCCTAGGGGCCATCTCTTTGTCTTCGTGGTGCGGTGACACCATGTTAGTGTTCCGTAATTTTTTTCTCTCTGATTCTTCATGCTTGATTTATCCTATTCCTATTTAGTTTTTTTTAGTTGTTGTCCCTAGGTACCACCCGATAAGGATAAGGGCATAGTTATGGTCCTTTTAAAGCTCATAATACCCTACAACAATAAAAAACTTGGGACAACTATAAATATAAGTTTTTGACATTTTTGATAGGGTTCCACATAACTTGGGGAGAGAAAAAGATGTGATCATCAAGATAAAAGAGGAAAAGCTAGGTTTTGAGGTTGAAGAAGATTTTCGGTACACGATCTAATTATTTCCGTGATCAAGATTTCAAAACTCGATTATAAACTATACTTTTTATTTTTCTTTCATTATTATGAGTAGTCAAATTCATAGTTAGGGCCAACAATGTAATTTATGTAAGAACCTTTATTTTTTTTATTCAAAATTCAAGTTCTTTAAACGCACATGTGTTGATTTTAATTATACACTCAATGCTTTGAATTTTCTTGTCAATTATTCAATGATTTGTGAATCTATCATGAATCAAGAGACGAGTTATTGATATAGACCATATACTAAAATTCGATAATTTAGTATAACGTGTAAATATGCTTATACTAATTATTACAGTCGTTAGATGAATTCTTAGAACTAACATTTTATTTAACTAAAATTGATTCGCATTGAGACATGGAATTGAATTGGTTAGATAGGCTCAATGAGGACTCGAAATGGGTAAAATGAATGCTTTAGAAGAAATGAATAATTTGATTGAACACTATAGTTGTAATGAATCTTGATTGGTGAATTAAAAGGTATGTCTTAACACCCAAATTCGTATCTTTAAAATTAGCTTTGTGTGTTAGATAATTTAATATAGTTAAAATAATTTAGACACCAATCACAAAACTTATTATTTGTTTTCGATCAAATTAAAGATATGAATAATTGAACTAATTGTTAGATAATAGTCCTCGTGGAAATAATATCCAAACTCATAAGTCTACTTTATTACTTGGTTACGATTCGTATACTTGCGAGATATAAAAATTGATAATAATTATTTTATTGAAAAATATATGGTTGATAAGAAGATAGAGAAAATAAGTCATAATTTTAATGGAGCCAAGCATGGGCTAATGAGGTTTTGGGAAAATGTATTTTATATATATATATATATATATATATATTTGAAAAATGTGTAGTTAAAAGGTAAAGAAATGATTTGTGTTTACATGAAATATAATTTTATTAAAGAACGTATAGCTGAAAATGAAAAAGATAAAAATGCATTAACTTAAAAATGTAGCCCAAACATGGGCATAAATAGTAAGACCGTTGTTATGCCTTGTCTCACAAAACTCCAAGTATTAGACTCATGGCAGTCAATTAGCAAGCCTTATTAAGATTAGCACTTTACATTAATATCCTACTTGGCCTAGTCAATGACATAACTAAAGTAACCAAAGTGATGTATCACCTTAGTCGAGTTGCCATGTAGAGGCCGACCCTTCATGATTTCGAAGAGGTGCTGTAACATATTGCATAGTAATTCTATCTTAATGAGAGGAAGCATCCCACACTTCACCTATTCGAAGAGATCTTTCCATACAAGATCTTTATATGATTGATTCATGTGATTTCTTTGCAACAGATACTTCGCGATCAATTTGTCAGTCTACTTTTCAAATGTTAGACTTAAATTATAAGGTGGCTACTTTTCCGAATCATTTAATGCCCTTAAACCTACGAGTGGTATGTTTATGACAACGTGTCGCGATCATAACAATAAGGCCACATGTCTCTTCATCCAACTATAACCATTTTATCTCTTTTGCCATAAAATCTCATACTTAATGTCATTTGAAGATAATGCACACAGTAGTATTGCTCTCACATTTTACTCTTTCATAAACCCCCGGTGTTTGAGCACCACCGTAGCTCATGTCTTTCTCTCTTCTCACGCTCAAATATACCTATACAAGTTGACTCTGACCTGACCATCAAAGTTCTTGAGATCGAATTCTCTACCTTTGGAGAAGGTCATGTGCTTCTAAGGTTTGTCGAAGTGTGCAAGAGTCATACACATGACTTTAAGTAGAGCCAATAACTATTGACTACATCTCCCATGCAAAATTTGAGGCCAATAATTGTCACTAATAAAAAAAATCACAAGATTTATAGCAATTTTGGAAAATTGTTTTTAAGTCTTTCTGCTTTCTCACTAGTATCCATATTATAATATTAATAAATCATGTTAATTAACTACTTACGCAGTTACGTGAGTATGCTCCACTATTAACTCTTTTGATGATCCTTAATATCAAAAATTATGTTGCAGATTATCACAATCCACTAGGAAGATTTGCGAGTTGACCATTTGTCCGTAGGTTAGAATGCATGGATCTCATTCCTATATTATATTCTATAATTCTAATTAATTCTAATATACATATCATTCATTTTTCCAATTAAATATACTGTGGTAAACAACAAACTTGATGCTAAATGGTATTTTTTAGCTGGGTAACTCTTAAAAAATATTTCTATGATTTGTTTGTCAAGTCAGGTTTAGTTACGAGTTAATATTTCTTAAAAGGTGAATAGTTCCATTGTAAGTTATCTGGCCCATGTTTGACAACCATATTCTTGATAAATGAAAAAAAAAGGTGAGTTTTAAATAGAGATTCTTAAGAAAATGTTTTGGTTAAAAATTAGGAAAAAAAGTTTTGGCTTTATATGCAAAATATTTTATTGTGTGAATGTATGATTAAAAATGAGTATGTAGAAAAAATAGTCTAAAAAGTATGGCTCTCAGACAAGACCTAGTCTAATAAGTGAGGCATATTGGATGTATCCTGTAAATTCTACCTCTAGTAGAATAACATCTCGAAACTTACGTTCCAAAGGTTACTCAAATAATTCCTTTGGCCCTTATAAAAATTGATCGACACATTATATTATAATGCAAAAAAATTTGAATAACTTTGTGGAATAAAATAAGTTACTTTATTGTCTCATAAATACGTCAATTAATTTAGTCCACAACTATAATATAAACTCAACACTTATTTTAAAAAATTCAATATTGATTTTGAACATTAAATAAATAAAATTCTAATGTGAAAAATAGCTTTCTAACTAAATACTAAATATTGAAAGAAAATTTTAAATTCTTAATTAAGCAATACAGACTCTGTTAACAGTTTCAACATCCATCTCCAATCCATCAAGTACTTGTAAAAATAATTTAGAATATGGAATGAGCATATAAATATATTCAGTTTAGATTTCATGTCAATATTTTCACAATTTAGTACAAAAAACAAGTAAAATACATGCATAACATAATTTTTTAGTGGGATAGAAACTTAATTATCTTATTCTCACTTAGATTATACACATTCTCAATCTTCACTTAAGGTATTTAGCCTTATGACTGATTTTCGTGTAAATCTACATAATAATACCTTATGGTATTATGTACAAGATCATTTTTTAATTTGAATAATATAATAGCACATAAAATATTTAACTTAAAATTTTAAAAAATGAAAACACTAAACCACTTGACATTTAGAGAAATTCATACCTTATTAGTCAAATTGTTTTTATACTCAAGCTATTTAAAATTGAAATTTTTTACAGAAGAATCTTGAACGTGCTAAAAAACCCTTTTATTTTCTTTTCGTTTCTTCTCTCCCTTTTTCCTTTTCTCCCCTTTTCACGTTTCTCTCTCTCTTTTTCTCTTACGCTGTTTTTTCCTCTCTAAATTTGTGTGTGAATTAAAGTACAACAATAAGAGGGTATTTACAGATGTGATTAGATAAGAATAGTTAACTAATTAGAATTTTAACTCTTAATACAAATTTAGATTGATCTTTCAACAAACGAACTTATTATGAAATTTGAGTTTAAGAAAATTATAACCACGCGAGGATAAGATTTCAGTGAGGATATATGAAAATTTCAAATTTTATCTAAATAATTTTATATAAGATAATTCGATAACAATTCAATAAAAATCCAAAATAATAAAATTTAATTTCGTATAAAAGTCACATATCTAATTATTAAGAATTTAACACAATGTCCCTAGAAAATATTAAAATTGCCAAGTTATCCTAAATTTTAAAACTTTCATTTATGTCTCATAATACGCCGCATGTATGTTTAAGGTATTGCAAGAAGTCTTTCATCTAATTTTTGAAAATAAAAAAAATTTGAGTCCATTCATAAATTGGGGCAAAAAAAACGTAAACAATTCATGAAGCTTGAACCTACACGTTCAACCAATATAAAGTTGAGTGATTAGGTTTGTATTAAATTGACTCAAGAATTATGTATAGTCACAAACTTAATCTTACATATTTATTGTAATACAAAAAGTTATAAAATACTTCTACATGGTCAAGATAGCTCCCGATAGACCATTTATAACATATTTAGTTGAATTATAAGATTCTCATAATCGCACATAAGATAGATGCTGTTTAGAATTCGCACAATAAGAACTAAAGACAGTTAAAAGGTTTTAACTAAACCTATAATTTATTTTACAATGACAAAATTTTAAATTTTTGAGTAAAATTATTTTATGAAAAAATATATGATTGAAAATTAATTCTGACAACTGAATTTAAAAATAAATTGGACCTTAAACATTGGCATTGAGCTAGGCAAACGAAAATAAGGGCAAAATTGGGAAAACAGAAGCCAGATAGCCGTTCCCATAAATGCAAGTTGTAGCTGGCACACATATAATGTGTGGGGAAATTGGGTGCTATACTGACGTCTCTCCTTCCTGCTACTATTGATTACCATAAATCGGTAGAAAATCGTAGAGCAATGCCATGAAATTCTACTTCTAGGGTTTCTTCAAGGAGTATTTCAAGCAGATTCTGGTAAAACTTGATACCTGATGTTACAATTTTACGACAAAATCTAGGGTTTTATTTGCGCTTAAAAGTTCATCTTTTTTTTTTTTTTTTTTTTTTTTTTTTTTTCTTTTTTTGTTTACGTTTCTGCAAATTATCAACGTTTAATCGTTCTTCAAGTTTTCGGAGGTTTTTATTTCTGACTTTTGGGAATTTTTTAACACATGAATGTGTTCTTATGTTTATTTAGGTGTTGCATGGCGTTGATTTACTGCATATAGGAAACAATAACAATTAAATTGGTTAAAATATGTTGAATAATGTTGTTTGAAAACTATGTGCGTCAAGTAATAAACCCTTAAAACTGTAATTGGTGGATTATCGAAGAACATTTTAATAATGATAGTTCAAACTACAAAGTGATTTTCAGCGGAAGTTTACAGTTGTGTGTGTGTGTATATATATATCTGAATTCAGTATTTTTTTTTTTTGTTGAAGTTGTATAATATTATTAAGTTTAAAATGTGCGGTTACAGTTTCAGCTGAAAAGGATGGTAAGCAGTACTCGATCTGCAAAGAAGAATACAGATGAATTCGTTGGTAATAGTTCGAAGAAAAAAATGGTTAATAAAGAACAACAATCAAACTTGACTACAGAAAAAGCTGATGTCTTGGGTTTAAGAAGGTCAACTCGGGAAACGCAATCGTCGAGACTCAAGACTCCAAGCCCGCAAAGTACTCGGAAATCTGAGCGTATTGAGAGGCAGACACCACCCTTAATTCGTCCAGTGAAGAGGAAATCTGATAGAATTGAGAAACATAATCTGACGAGTACCCCAAGGAAGTCTGACAGGTGTAAGAAAATTAATTTGCCAAGTTCTTCAGGATCCAAGCAATCTGGAAAACGACTTAGTCCATTAAATTTGAAGAAGAAGGAGATCAAAGAGAAGAGCCTGAAACAGTTGACAGTGGAATCTAGGAAAGCTGAACCTGACCTGAACTCTGTTGGCACGAAAAGGAAGAAAATGGATGCTTGCAGTTACAAGGCCTTATTTAAGCCCCAGAAGATAAAATATTCCATGCCAGGTAGATGAATCTCTTTATTAAAAACATTTTTAAGTAGGAGCTAATTTTAGATTTTTAACCATCGTATTGTAAACTAATATTCTTTTTGTTACCTTATGCATTAACTCATCAATAGCCTGTAAGGGGGTAGGGGTGAAAGGAAACTAATTTTAATTATGACTGGCATAAATGAAATAAATTGTCTATGTACTGCTTTTAGGCATGAAAACTTTTATCTCAAATGCCTTTTCCCCCCATCCCCACTTAGATGTTGCTGAAGAGTTGCCGAGACAAGATAAACCGCCTGCAGTTATTAGTGGAGGAATTAGTTCGGAGCCAATAGGAAAGAGCGGGGAGAGCAGTGGAAGGGTGATACAGAATTTGGCAAATGAATCTTCCGGTACAGCTTCTGGTGTGGATGTATTGGAAAATGATATTGACGGTAAATTGTCACAATCTTTCCCAGCACATAGTGGTAATGACGAGCCTTCTCAACCTCCAGATGGAGATGGTTTGAAAAACGTTGAGATTGGTTGTACTATCATAGACATACTTGATGACGAAGAAAGGGCTCCTTGTTCCTCTATTAAGAATGTGGAGGTTACAGACTTAAGATCAGCAGATGGTTCAGAAGATGATGTCCAATGCATACAGCCAAAAGGTATAAAGCATATTGACATGGATTTAGGCCTTAGCTCAATGCATGCCAGCAAAGATGTTTCTGTGATTTCAGGGAGTGTTCCTTCATCTGGACGCGAAGTTCATCACCTTTTGGGGACTTGTTTCGTATGTTTTAGAAAGAAAAGGTATGATTTCCATGTAGTAACTTGACAAGTGTTGAATTTAGTCATCTTGGTCTTCTATATTTTACAATTTGTTTTTTTTCAGATTTGAAATAGGCTAGAAGTTTCCTCCCTTAACTATCCATTTTATTGTGTATGGCATTTTCCTTCTCTTCCAAATGTGATAGAATTACACTGCATTATGTTGTCAGATTCTTAATCTATTTGTAGGTCTGGAAATGTTAAGTTATTATAGTGTCTAAGTTTTCTCTTTGTAATTGCATATTTATTTTTCATTCGTTTACTTTGAAGGTTAAGTATCTTGTGTAATTGTCACATAGTATTAGCAGAATGAAATATCTTTTATCTTGACCTCAACTGTAGTAGAATGTGGAACTGGCACACATGCATTTAGTGTGCGATAATATGGTGTGAAATATATGGTTTGATTCTCTATCAAAAACTTGATCCAAATTCCCGCACACGAATTGTCGTTGTTTTATGAACTAAATGGTTTCATTGTCTGTATCTTAAAACTTCAGTCTGATCTTGGTTTCTGTGCCAATCATCAATTTTTAAGCGACTCTAAAATGTTATAGCTTTCACATTTTCTGAACAAGCTTGTGTTATCCTCTTGAATCATCAACTTATTCAACAAATAATGTGATCTTCCACTAGTATGCATTGTAGATGGACTTTGCGCTAATTTGCTGCAAATTAAATGGCAAAGCCACATATTCTGGGCCAACTTTTCTGGAATGAGTGTTAGAAATGATTTCCTACTTTTTCAAGGTTAGACATGTATGAAGCGAAACAAGATTATGTAAACTTCTTCCTTCTAACTGGCACAGGGGAAAGCGAAAAATTTAACTACAAAATAGAGTTATTATTATTTTTTGTTTGGGGAATGGGGTAGGTGGCTAATCAGGAGCGGCAGCAGCCAGAGAAGCCATTTATGCTGTGAAAGCCTGGGGCTAGTGTCACCATCCATATTAGCTGGATTTTGTCAGAGACAATTACAGTGCTATTCGTTAAACAGATGAAAACAACATGAAATCTGCATTATGAAAGTAATTTATTGGCGTCTGTGATGGTTGATAAAAACTTTGAATTAAGCGAATTTTAAGTTACACTTTCAAGTTAATTTTTATAGAATAAGAGGGAAAAGTTTATCCATCAGAAAGAGAAGGGGGGGGGGGTTAGGTATTAACAATACTCGAGAAAAATTAAAGATTTATTGTGCAGAGCATAACACGTGTAGACGTTGAAGGCTAACAATAGCTAATCCTTGTACACTGCTCTGGTAGAAAAGGAAAAGAAACCTGAAATTGAGAGTAAACCAAAGTTCAACTCCTCTGTTTGGGTTTAGTTAAACTGTTAATCTCTCCATCCACAGGAGATATCTGTGTAAGCATTTTAGCTTTTTTGGCACCAAGCTAACATGGGAAAGAGAGACCGTACTTAATGAGGGTACGAATATGCTTTTCAGTAATAAAGAAGCGAAACTACCCTGTTAAAATGGAGATGCTTTATTTATCTGTCAAAGCTAATTTACTTTCTATGGAAAGGTTGATGCTTTTCTTTTTTTATCATTTTTCTCTCAAATAAAAATTTGCAATTTCTGTTTGCATATTCTCCAGGTCCTGTAGTATATTTCCTCATGGTTAACACTGTATGAGAGCTTCAAAAAGTGCCCACCACTAGAACTTCATGAATAGATTACTAGATTTATATTCTCGCTAGTTTGCAGGGCAAGAGTGGACTTAACAGTATCCTGGATTTAAGCTGCAAACTAGTACTAGCAAGAAAAGGAAAAAAGAACGGAAGGAAAGAGATTCTACTACTAAAATAAAAATGAAAAGTGGATCATTAACTTCACATTGTCAACAGGTATATCACGGGGAGAATGATACTTGACATTCAACTGACTTAAACAGTATTATAGAACAAGCAATAAATAAGCGCTAAAATGAAAAGCATGTATTATAGAATCCAACTATAAAAAAGTACCATTAGTTCCTTTTTTAGCATCTGCATATGAGGAATGTCGGAGGAAACAATGATTTTCTAGTAGGTATATAAAAAGGGTACAAGAGATAGATGTGGTTTGAAGAATGGTTGACAGAAGGGGGGTGATGAAAGAGACTGAGCTGTTCAGAATTAGCGGGACATTGTCTGATTTTATGTAACACAACTGTACTTGCAAGTTAACATGTAATCATAGTTTAAGATATTTAAAAGTATGGAAGGGTTACACGATAATAGTTGTAATGGTAGATGATCATTCACACAGTGTAAATTCATTTCCTTGATACCTTTTCTTCCCTCTCGTTTGTGTTAGATTAGCTGATGATTTTGTCTTCAAAAAATGTGAGTAGATCTTTCGTTTGGGTGCTCTCCACTATTTTTCTTTTGCCCTTCCATGTCTTTGGATGGTATTACTGATGTACCAAATGCCTCTTCATTGGGATTATTTTCTTAAAAATTCAATTCCCTAGGAATCTCTATGAAGTGGACACGTCAGTTCGTCATTATATAGTCTTGCTCCCCTTTCTTTATTGCTAGGTGATAACTTTGATAAAATCTCTTTAAACTCTCTCTTATCGCTTTGGATTGATAGATAATCCTTCTCTTTTAAACTTCTATACTGAAGAAGACTATTTTGGAAGGCGAAGGTTCCTTCTGAAATCAAACCTTCACTTGGATGATATATAGTTGTTGTACACGGGAAAGTCCTGATTTGTGTATGATAGTCTTCCAATGAGATAATAATCTTTTCCATTTTCAAAAACTAGGATGGTTTGAAGATTACTAGTTTGGTGATTTGTGAAGTATGGTGAGGTTCCCATAGCGAAAGGACACTCAAATAGGATAATGAACATGCCGAGTGCACTTTCTGTGAATGTTTTTCTTCCTAGTTTACTTAGCGAGAACTATGAGAACTTGATCCATTTTGAAAGTAATAAGGTTTAACGTGGAGTAAGGTGTAGATTTGGTGGGCCACTTTCGCACTCTTCAACTTCCCATCCGCAATACCATTTGCATGCTTATGGTGTTTGTGGAGTCTGGGGAATTCAGAAGCTTTTGATGTAAAGCAGAGGATTTGAACTCAAAGTCACTTACACCTCTTTAAGGCTTTATCCCTAAAATTACAGTTGTGGATAATTTGTTTTTGGTGAACAGAGGTCTATCTGGGTTCATTTGTTTGCTTTGTAGAATTTGCGGATAGCATGATATTTACATAAATAGTAGACATGCCTTTGCTTGCTGTAATTTCTATGTTGGAAAAAGAAAAGAAAAAATGAACTCTCTGAGTTTTTTATTTGACCAAAATCTGTTAACCTTTTTAGTTGATGGTGATGTCATATGGTGTACTGTCGAATTCCCGCAGACTTGCCAGTACGCTGTTAAATCACATTAGATGGGCTCCCTTTCCCTTCCTACTGGACTTTTTGTGGGGATGTTGTAGGATGGTAACATATTTTCTAACTAAAGTTGAGCAATTTGTTTTAGTTAGCTTGGACAATTTATTTGTTGGTCTTTGGATTTAAGTAGCATATATAGTTTTATAAATCGTTTAGGGAGATGCTTTTAGACTGGTTTCAGCTTTACTAAGATGAGTAGTCTATTTTATGTTTCTTGCAGGCTAGATTATGATTCACCAGAAGAGGAGCTATGCTCTTGTGGCGCATCATCAAACGTGTATTTAAATGACTTCCCTAAGGTTGGTTGTGCATTTTATATTAATAGGGTATTGTTTATTGAACTGTTCTTTAACCCAATTACAAGAAGTAAATAAGAAATATATTTTGTCTCTTCACTATTCTGTGCATTATGACTTGTTTGATCTGGTCCAAAATCTTACTCTATTAACCACACGAGGCTAATACCTGTTGAAGAATTCCTGAAATATCTATATTTTCTGAACTGATATTGAGTGGTTAAAAATTAAAAGCATGCTTTCCCTGTTAAAAAATTCACCTTTTCTAATGTGTCAAAATGGACACTGGATACTTGGCTAGCCACTGAAAATAATCAGATGCTGAGGAGGAAAATAGACAGTTTTTTCTCTTAAAAAGTCGGATGAATCTTCTAGCTTAGAAATGATGACTTCCTTTCCCTGTTGGAGTAGTTATTTTCATTTTGGATCTTGAACTCTGTGGACACCATGATCATACAATTATTATGATGGGATATATTTCGTACTGGTGGCTGATTAGGGATGACATCTTCAAGCCTTCTTTTGCTGGTACTAGTACTAGATGAAATCTACAAGTGTACTCCTTTTGGTGGTTTGCACTTTTATATGCATTTTTGCTCTAACAACTTCTACTGTTCCTCATACTTAAGATGCTCTCTATCATATTGTGTTTAGGCATGATGAGGGACTTAGTTATGCTTTTTAATTTCTGAAAGCATGAGAAACAGCAAAGAATTTAGAGTCTCATGCTGATGAAGAAAGTTGGATTGCTCCTTGTCTTGATTCTAGTCGCGTGGAAAGTTTTGGTGTTTAACTTTAAAATGACATTGTGGCGCAGGGCTAGTTTGGGCAGCACTCATAGAGTAATGCAGAATTAAATAAGAGGCTGATTAGGCTTGATAGGGAAAAAAAATCTGAAAATTTATTATACTGTCATTGACCAAAGATGACAAGGGAGCGGTGAATGTATTAGGCTCAATTGATTGTATTTGTGCCAATGAAGTGACTTTGGAAGTCGGTGTTTCTTGGTTTTTGTAGTGGGAATTGATTGGGCTGTTGAATCAAAGTTTGTATTATAAAGATCATAAGTCTGAATTTAGAGGTTGGAAAGAAGAGTCAGAGGAGAAGAGCAAGAGGGAAAAGTAAAGACTAGAGAAATCTCACCTGGATTGGGTGGGAACAACCCTGTAGGTAAAGTTGCAATAAAGCTCCAAAGCTTTAGAAATCAGGTACTCGACTCTGTTTTTCACCGCTGAAAGGAGACATAGCTCAAATCCATAGGTTTCTAGGTCTTCCTAATCTTATTTGGACGCATGACATAATTTTTTAGAAGCTATAGGAACAAAGATCTTTTTTACTCTGAATAATTCTAGAATGATTGGGACGCTCGTAAAACTTGCCTATCATTTTGCAAATCAATTATAACATCATGGATAGCGGTTTTTAACTTTAGAAAAATGCATTATAACTCCTAAGAGTAGGGGCTACCGTTGGTACTGGTGAGCCTGTACCAGCTACTTATAGGATAAAATTTTAATCCTGCATTTGGAAAAATTCATAAATCAATTTATAAATGGTCAAACTTCATTTTGAACTACATATTCCAATGGATGCTCAAATTGTATCCACTTATGCCCCCACTTTTTTTTATCTATTAAACCATTCATAAGTTCTTTCCACATGGATGGCTATTTAACCTTCGTAGTAAGGGAAGAGAACGGGAGATGCACCTCAAAGATAAATATGGAAATTTGAAAATTTTGGACTTGGCTCTATATGTAGTTATCTTCTTGCCAATTCCATCTCCTCATTGACTTCGGCTCATGCGGACGTTGTGCAACTAAGTAATGGTTTGGCTTCTACTTGCTAGGAGTAGGAAGACATAGTTTGGAGATAAAGAGGGTTAAGATAGAGATTGTAGTTCAGGCTATCATCTGAAGTGAATTCCATCTACAAATCTCAATGTGATTTATAACATTTTTATTAATCATATACTAACTCCATTATAAAATTTTGATTGCGCTCTGATTTTGTGAAAAGCATATCGAAACAATGTAATTACTTAGTGTTCATGATCCACTAATCTTCAAAAGTTACCCTATGAATGGATATTCATAATCTAGATGATAAGCACCATCTACCTTTTAGGTTACATCTTGGCATTTCTGCTATCCTTGAGTCATTAATTAGAACGTTGTAATAAGTGATTACCAAGACATCAATATTTTGAAATTCAATTCTAAATAAACGACTTAATAATCCATTCTAATTATACTCTCTCTAATTGCCATGCACACGAGTTTCATGAACACAACCATCATATTAGCTTAAAGAATTTAGGTCTCTCCAATAGATATTGTAGTATCTATATTAATAATTGTTGTGCATGTGACTCATATAAAGTGGAATACAGGGATATTTCCTGTACGGGCCTTAAAGTCTTATATGGGTTTATGCTAGGGTTAGTATAAATAATATGTTGTAACCCTATTTTTCACTACTGAATAAAGATATCTTCGCTTTGCTCTCGTGGACGTAGGTACACCGCCGAATCACGTAAATTCTTGTGTTGATTTCTTTTTTATCTCTTTAATGTTGTGCATAAAATCCAACAATAATATATACTTGCAGCCACCAAGAACAATCATCAAGAAATCTAGAGTATTGATCGTAGTGAGGTCCATCTTAAAGAAATTGATTCTATCATGTAAATCTATTACTCACTCAAAAGTAAGGACGTATGTAAATAGGAGAAAATCATTCTAATTTAATTGTTAGTAATTTAAAGAAGAGATTTCGCACCTGGCCTATTTAATATATACCATCTCGTGGAACAAACTTGTATGTCTAACTTAAAATTTCACTTAAGTGATGGGTCAGCCTATCTTATATAGGTCAGTACAGTATGATCTCTAGATAGTTGACCTTACCAATTATCGACTTTAAGCAAACGATCGAGTTACAAGGAAACCGTTTATATATATTTGTATATGTATGTATATATGAGTCTATCTATTTGCACTTATGGGCGGACAGTGGTATGAACAAGGTAAACAAAATACATGTATTGAATGTATATATCGATAATGAATCTCACTCCAAGATTTCATTTATTGCACACAAGAACAATTGCTTTATTAGCAATGTGGTATAATTAATAGAATCACTATAATTTCAGTACGTATTTTGACAACTTGCATAGTATCCTTATTTTGCTTGAAGGCATATGATGAATATGCCCTTTGGTCTTTTGAGTATTTTAAAAAATTTATAATAAATCAACATGTCCAAGTCTAATTGTGGGAATTAGATTGATTCTAGTTGCATTTACAATTTGAAAATGAGGGTGGGTTGTTCTATGGGAGAATTCTAGGCCATCTTTAATCGAAATTCATTGTATGTGGAGTCTTCAGGGTATGATAGTTGAGAGGGTTGCTGGAATATCGTTCCTTTGGAGAGGTGGAAGATTAATTTTAATCTAGTTGGTTTTTTCAGGTATTTATATGTATTATAAAGTGCTGTTTAGCATTGGGTAATATTGTTGCTATTTTGGAGAAAGTTTTGATGGACATCTCAAGAAATGCGAGTTGGGATGTTAGAGACTAAGTATTTGTTGAAAATAAGATTGAATGATATGGTTTTGGCCCTTCCTAATCGCGTAAGCTATTAGATCAATTGGTTCTACACTGTACAACTAAAGGTAATGTGCCCTAGGTTCAAGTATTGCTGTAACCCAATTAATGAAATTGTGTACATGTTAGGTTTTGATAAAAAAATGAATTTCATACAAACAAGTGGGTGGGCCGAAGCTATGTTAAATGATACACATGATCCTTTCTAACATATTAAGCTTTTACATCAAGTAGCTCAACAATATTTGGTAGCTTGGGATTTGTTGGGACAAGATGTAAAAGTTGAGAGGTGTTTTTAGGGGTGGGCAATCTGAGGGACAAAAACTTGTATAGTTTTTAGGAAAATTTTTGGAGATTTCCCTTTGAACAATATTCCTTTTAGGAGATGGTTGCAAGGAGCGTGTATGTTTGGGCCAAAAAGAAATATGAGGTTCCTTTAGAAACATTTGGAATTGTATATATCTCTTGAGATTTTCTTCTTTTTCTAGTTCACAAAGTGGGATATGGGTGTGGGAGTTGCATGTTGTTTGTAGGAGGAAGTAGGGATTGGTTCTTGGTCCCGTGCTTCTTCATTTTCTAGCCTATGTAATCTTTCTTTGCTTAATGATGTTCCTATTGTAAGTTCATTATAAGAAACATGACCATAAATTGGAATTTCGAGTTTCAATGCAACTCTAATGTGGTGAGGTTTTAGTCTCTGTTTGGCAAAATTTAAAAAGCATTTATAAAATTGTCAAACTTCATTTTGAACCTCACAGTTCGATGGACCCACAAGTAGTATCAACCTAACCACTACTCATTTCTACCTATTTACAAATTCTTCCCAAAAGGCTTAGATTATTTCCTCATTATTTATTATCCTTGAGAATGTTTCTCTAAAACCTTCTCAAGATGTCAAAGGCTATGGATGTTGGATACCTTGGGGTCGGTTTCCTTGCAATCTTTCATGCCCTCGTTATTATTCAGTTACTTCTACCAGTTCTAGTTCATTTTTGGAAATCACGTGTCCAGAAGGATTAAAGTGTTTCGTACGAAGATTTTTACTTGTGAATTGGTTCAAAAGAAATGTTGTTAATCTCTCTTTTGCTTTTATGGCCTGAAATGTGCAAGAGGATTCGAATGTAGGGATAGATTGTTTTTACATTTTGATGCTGTTATATACTCAGTCGTACTCTTCAAGAGTTGGTTATAATTGGATTTTCCAAGGCAGTTGTGGCGAATTACTCCTTGAAAAGCACACTGGCTTTGTAGGTCAAGATGAACATGGTTATATGGAAAATGAGTCTTGGCTCTCTTTTAGGTTATTTGCATAGGGAGAAAAGGTAGGATTTTGAATGAAGAGACCAAGAATTTTTTTGATTCATGGAAAAGAGTCGACTTTTAGCATTGGTATGAATTTATACAGTTGAGTTAATGGATACTCCTTTTGCTTTAATTATTCTTAGTTAGAAAGATTTGATTTGTTCTTGGCTTTCTTTTTATTTTTGTTGGAGGATTCAATATCCTCTTGTTCATTGTAATTGCATTTCTATGAGTGAGTTTGAAATGTTTTCTTTGACTAAGACAGAAGGGAGAAATTCTGTTGCTTTGGTTGGGAATCTTGGGATTGCAGTACCTTGTTGATCTTATCAAGGTGATGCAGCATGGAAGTTGTTGAATTCATTGAATTTCCGTCCCAAGGCAGTATTAATATTCTAGTGGTGTGTTGTATAGACTTGTGTATAGAAGAGGTAGGAATAATGGTATTTGAGAAGGGTTCTTCTCTATTTGTTTTGGAGCTTTTGGAATGAAAGGAACTTGTGAGCTTTCAAACGGGTGGAAATACCTCCGGCTAAGTTGAAAACTTAACTTTTTTGTCTACTTTTATTGGAAGAGAAGCATATCCAACTTCTGTTATAACTTTTGCTGATTATGTGGATTTATTGTCCTTACTGATTATGAATAGTCTAAATTATTCGTGTATTCTTGAGTTGCTTTCTTTGCAATATACAGAAAATCTCTCCTACTTGTGTCCTCCCTCCCACTAATAAAAAGAAAGATAATACTTCTGTTCGCTGCAGCAGATTTTTCTTGAGGCCTCCTTAATTGTCTGTTCGATGTGCTAGACAAATAATTTGAGTTATAGTAATGAAAATTATTGCCGCCCTGTTCTGAGCTTACTAACTATCTAGGATATGAGTGGAACAGATCCAGGTGAGACCAGCCACTCCTTGATGTTTGAACTGTAGCTTACTTTTACCCTGTTTAAGGATTTGACTTATTAGATTTAACTGGACAGGGTGAACCATTTTTATCTTAACTTTGCACAATTTCATTGCTACTGTATTTGATTTTAGTGTGTATCTTTTGCCTATTCCTCTTACTCCTTGTTTTATGTCTGCGACTGGGGTCATGAACTCAAATTTTGTTAAAGAGATCATTTTCCTTCGAAGTCCTTGATTTTGAGCATCTGTAGTAAATTGAAGCTCAAAACTTGATATGATTATGTGTATAATACGGAGGTGCTATTCATAACTTTTCTAAAGCTGTTTTGGTAATGCCTGTGCATTAGGATAGAGGGGATCAGGAAGCTGCTATTTACTCTGAATCTACTGGAAGATGCAGCAGTGGTGAGCAGAACGAGACACACTCAGATCATCGAAGGGGTGGTCCCAAGAATGTGTGTCTCATCTGCAATCAAGGTGGAGAGCTCCTGTGAGTGATCCTTTGTGTTTGTACTCTTACGTCCCACAATGATCAATAATTTTATAAACAGTTAAATCAGTTCTAATTATCTAATTGCATTTGCATCTTCAGTACTTTGTTTATGGGCCGTTCAACATATATGAAGAAATGATTATTTCTTTTTGATAATAATGGAGCCTCATTTGTTTGGGAGCTTTCTCCCTATCTCAACATGCCACATGCCTGAAATCTTGACCATGACAGTTTTGAATTTTTCTGTCCCTTGTTTCCCCTGGTCTTTGTGATAATATATGTGTCACTCACATTTCAGGTGCTGTATTGGAAATAGATGCAAGAGATGTTACCATCCGTTGTGTCTAGATCCTCCTTTAAGTGATGTTCCACCGGGAATGTGGCACTGTTTATGGTGTGTGAAGAAGAAGGTTGAATTAGGCGCCCATTCAGTGTCACAAGGTGTTGAATCAATCTGGAATGCTAGAGAAGTGGAGGTACCGAATGCTGAAGGTCTGACATGTTAATTGCTACATTTATATTCAGTATATAAGCAAGAAGAAACTAACATGAATTTCCTCCACGTTGAATTGAAATGGACCAAGTAAAGTGAGCCATTCATTTTAAGATGGGAGGGAGTAATGTTTTTAATATTGATACAATAAGCTAGAATGTTATCAATCTTCGGTCTAAGCATGTCATTTTCTGATAATTCTATTAAATATATGCATTGATCCTAGGAGTGCAAAGGCAGAAGCAGTATCTTGTTAAGTACCACGGCCTTGCCCATGTCCACAACCATTGGGTGCCAGAGAAACGATTGCTTCCTGAAAATTATTATCTTATTGCAGAATTTAATTCAAAACATCAGGTTAAATCATTTCTTCCCTATATGCTCAATTTGATTTCTTGGATAATTTGTGTGTTATTAGTTGGCACAAATTCAATTTTTTACTAATAGCACTTCTATTAGCTTTGAAAATTGGTGCTTTATAAATATGTTTGTTTCTGACTTTTAGGTTGTAAGGTGGAATGCAGAATGGACAGTGCCACAACGTCTGTTGAAGAAAAGATCAATTATCTTCCCTAGACAACAAAATAAGCTTCAGATCACACCTTCCATTGATATTTCAGATTGCCAGTATGAATGGCTTGTGAAATGGCATGGTCTTAATTACGAGCATGCTTCATGGGAGTTAGATAATTCTTCCACACTAAGCTCCCCTCAAGGACAGAACCTCATGAAAGATTATGAAATTCGTCTTCAGAAGGCAAAGAGAACAGTTGACAAGGTCAATACATGCTAGAAAATATTGTGTTCGTCATTATTCTTTAATCCAATTAATTGATTTTGCATACTAATTATTAATTTTCAAACATTATGGCAGAATCTTCATTCTCACATGCTATGTTAATAAGCTTGTTTTGTCTAAATTTTTAGGCAACTCAGTTGTACATATTTTGTCTTTGTTTTTGTCTTAACTGGAAGCTGGTTTTACTGGTTTCAGTTTCATGTTTATGTTCCCCATCTGATATTTGATTTTTTTTTAGCCCAGCTGGGTGGATGTAGGGGTGTGGAATTAAAGAAATTTAGCGGAAGAGATCCCAAATGGTGAACAATTTTTCCATCTAGATACATTGTTCCCAAATACGGTAAAATTGGAGATGATGATATAATAAAATTAGAACAAGTTGCTTAATATTGGCAAGTATTCAGATTTATCATTTGAGGTATGGACTTTTTCTAGATTAAAAAGATAATATTTGAAAACGTCAATAGGACTAGCTCTACCTCTGAGGGCGCGAGTTTTGGCTAGTGAAGAGCAGCGCATTTCAAAGATGATTGGAATGGAATTGGGATGAAGCAAGGCATATGGAATTAGGAATAACATCAGAAGGTTTTCTACTGAAATGAACTTAGTCTGACCTTTTATTCTCTTGGATTTCCTCAAAACAATATTCTTTCATTTAAACGGGGGATATCGAAGAGTTGATCATTAAAATAATAATAGAAGTATAGTCGTCCATCGGTACTGTGTAGGTCACCGTTTCTGATCTTCTCTGATAATAGGTTGATCTTAAGTTGCAATTAATTTCTCCAATTTGAATTATGTTAATTTTACGTAACTTCATCAATGTGGTGCATATAATATTGACCTAAAGTTTCAACTGTACGGACATTTACCCATCCACTACTAACACTATATTTTGCATTGTAATTGCGTTTGCATGTTCTTGCTGATACTGAAGAGTCAAAAAGGATCATATTTCGAGCTCTTAGAGCTTCCGGTAGGAGGATCACTTCCAAATTCTTGCAATCTATTGAAACATGTGAACAAGCTGCGCCAGTGCTGGTACAACAACCAGAACGCTGTTGTTTTTGATAACCAGGTGATCTTTGTTTGATATTTTTATTGAAAATTCAAGTTTAATCCAGGTGACTTACTGCTCCGTTCATTGATTTAGTTGCTAATATTTTCTTTTAGTGATAAACAGTGCATGTATTGCTCATCCGTGTATTGTAACTGTAATGAATTTATAAGTTCTATTTTACGAGTACTTCATGCAATTGATAACTGACATTTGGATATGATCCCTCCTTTTTAGGTTCTTTTATATTATTTCTTCCTTTTTCGTTTTTTCTGGGTGCTTAAAGCTTTTGAAGCATGGTTTCAAATGGATGTTGCCTAACCTTTGGGGTTTTTTCATATAATTCCAATATTTTCTTCTTGTTCACTTTCTTAAAGATTCTATATATTGCTTAACGTCCATTGCTCGTGTACGCATCAATGCATCAATCGACCTTTGAATATGTGTATGTTGAGTACAAGTGATATTTAAATAAGCCTTTTTGTCCTTCTCTGGGATAGGAGTTTCTAAGCTTATTCTTAGTATTGTCCCCCGGGGGGGGGGGGGTTTGGAATCGATATTTTAATAAGCTTGAAGCTGTATCTTTTATAAATATTAGCAGATTATTTGATGGATCTTATTGATTGTAACCTTGCAGGAGTGGGCAATGACTGTGATTTTCTTTGTTCTATCTTTGACTGAAGTCTGTCAGCCTTTCCTCATGATTGTGGCGTCAGATGCAATTTCTCAATGGGAAGCTGAGTTCACACGACTGGCCCCATCCATTGCTGTCACAGTTTATAGTGGAAGCAAAGATATGAGGAGAGGTATTAGGACATTTGAATTTTATGAGGAAGGGGGTTGCATGATGCTTCACGTGCTCCTATCTTCTCCAGAAGCTGTTTTTGAGGTATAGAGATTGCTTCAGCTTTCTTATTTTGATGTCAGGATCTTGGCTAATGTTTTTTAGTATCAATTATTTTTTGTAGCTGAAATAAATTCCTGTGATTCCTGTTCTCTCATCAAAGATTTCTGGTTTCCATGTATATTACTGTACTGTTTCTATTTTTGGTTTAAATTGTAAACGGCTATAATTCAGAATTTATCTGTTTCAGTTTTTTATTCTGTGGCTGTCTGTGGTCTTATGGTTATGTCTTATTTTCTGCTTTGATATTTTTTGCAGGATTTAGACATATTGAGATGCATAAGATGGGAGGCAGTTATAATTGATGAGTGCCAGCACTCTGGGATAGAAAATCATTGGGGACAAATTAAAATGCTACCTACAGATTCGAGGATACTTCTTTTCAATGGTCAAATAAAGGCAATTTTGTCCTCCTTGTCTTCAATCTTCTTGTTTATATTCAGGACAGGTTTTGAATAATCTTTTTGAAATTTTCAGGATACTGTGTCTGAGTATCTTAATCTACTTTCATTGCTTGATTCTCATGATGATCTGCATAAATTTAGAGGCTTCAAGTCCGACACAATTGATAATCTTGGTAAACTAAAAGAGAGGTTATCACATTTTATTGCTTACGGGAGCATTCCTGAGTTATCCAAGTTTGTAGAGTATTGGGTTCCTGTTCCAATGTCGAATTGCCAGCTCGAGCAGTACTGTGCCACACTTCTTTCAAATTCTATTCCTCTTCGATGTTGCTCCAAAAGTGATTCTATTGGGGCCCTCCGTGATATTCTTTTTACTGTCCGAAAGGTTTGCTTCATGAATTTCTCTCCATCTACATCACTACACGATGTCGTTTTCGCCCTTCTGTTTTAAGCTTTAAAGTCAGTTTCAACACTAGCATGTGAATCCTAAATTTCATTTTTCTTCCAAATGGAAGTTTGTGGACTGCTAAAACACGATATCAAACTTGCATAAAAATGTGGCTGTATAATATGAAAACTATAAACACCATCAACTTTTTGTCTGTGTATTACACTGTTACCACTGAAAAATATTTTCTTTTGTTTGTTTTTCCCCACAAATAACAAGCACTAGGATATTTAATTACATGTCATTTCTTGATAGTGTTGTGATCATCCGTATCTCGTGGACTCCTCTGTACAAGAAGGCTTGATAGCTGAGGGGCGTGCAAATGAGCTTTTGGATACTGGAATTAAAGCATGTGGCAAATTACAGCTTCTTGACATAATACTTTCAGAGATAAAAAATAAAGGACAACAAGTGCTCATACTTTTTCAGGTATACAACAATGGTTATATTTTGCCCTTGTTTGAGCCCCATTTTAAGTGAAAGAATGCATTTTTAAATAGTGATTGATGGAGAATGTGTGGTTAAAGATTAAAGAAAAGTTTTGGGTTTGCGTGTAATATTATTTTATTGAAGAATGTGTGGTTGAAAATGAGTTTTGAAAAAATGAATTTTTGGAAGAATGGGGCGCAAACAAGGGCTTCGATTAGATTTTGCATAAGTCTTCTACATAAGTTCATATCTTAGCTAGGAGCCCACCATTTTATATCTCGTATTCTCACCTCTTTGTTTCACATCCTGTGCTCCAGTATACTTTCATATAGAATTCCAACACGTATCTTATTATTGTTTTAATGTGACTATACATGGTTGCTTTTATTTTCACCAACAGACAGTTGTTGGCTTAGGAGGGGCATCAATTGGAGATATATTGGATGATTTTATGCGTCAAAGATTTGGTCCAAATTCTTATGAACGTATTGATGCTGGCGTTGCCCCATCCAAGAAGCATGCCACTGTGAATCGTTTTAACAAGAAGGAAACTGGGCAGTTTGTTTTCTTACTAGGAAATCGTGCTCGTTCTTCAAGCATTAAGCTATCATCAGTGGATATTGTTATCATATATGATAGTGAGTGGAATCCAGCAAATGATTTGAGGGCGCTACAAAAGATATCCTTCGATTCAAAATTTGAGCAGATCAAAGTTTTTCGGTTATATTCATCCTGTACTGTTGAAGAAAAAGCTCTACTTCTGGCGAAGCAGGTTGTAAATCTTGATAACAATCTGCAAAACTTAAGTAGGACCACTAGCGATACTCTGCTTATGTGGGGTGCTTCTTATTTATTTAGCAAATTGGATGATTATCATGCTGAAAGCAGTCCTACATCTGTTTCAAACATTTCCTCAGAGCAATTGCTTTTGAATGACACTACCAAGGAGCTCTTGGCCATACTTTCTGGAAGCTGTGATTCAGGTTCTATCATTTCAAAAGTTCAACTGGGTGTTGGACATTACAGTATAAACCTTCCCCTACTGGGAGAGGGAAAAATTCAGTTGAAAGATGGAGAAGAGGCTCATGTTTTCTGGAGAAATCTATTGGAGGGTAGAAATCCAAGGTGGAAGCATTCGTGTGGGTCTACTCCACGTAATAGGAAAAGAGTTCAATACTTTGATGTAATAAATAGGAACCCAGACACTGAGAGTGATGAAGTTGGAAAGAAACGTAGAAAGGTTGCAAATGAAAATGTAAATCCTGCCTCAATTCAAGTTGAACTCAAAGGGCATCAAATGAATCTAGCTGATGGTTCTAATGGAGGTAATAATAAGTGCCGAACTCTTGACATTACGTAATGTTTGTTTGTATTGTATATTAAAATTAAGCTTGATTGTACTAAACTGTTATTAGACAGGAAAGCTTCAATATATCAGATGCCTATTCATTGTGAAATTCCTGGTGATGCAGGGTTGTCTAAAGCCATAGCCACCAACAAGTCCCTATCTTTGGAAGAATCAACTTCTTGTCGAATTGACAATGTCAGTCCAGAAAGCAACCCAAATTTTATGTGTGGTCAGAGCTTTTTCGATCCTGGAGTCCATGCAGACAAACCTCAGGAAACAGTAACACCATCCAACGAGCAGAAGAACCTCCATATTTTACTAAAAGGAGAGATGGAGAGACTCTGTCAAATCCTTAAAGTTTCGGTACCATGCCTTGTTTCCCTTTTCTATGCTCGTTAATCGAAATGATATCAATTATAGATTAAGGACTCTGCCACCACTTGTTCTCTATTTTCATTCCTGTTGTCTCTTTTAACCATACCTTTTTTTTGGAAAAAAAAAAAAATTATAAACTTCAGAGTGTACAGATTTATTATTTAGTATGATCCTCATATTTGAGGATGTTGGGAGGGTGTTGCACTGTACTTTGACAAATTTTTGGTAGACCTTTTCTAGATGAATCTAACCACGGAACATACATCGCTAATAGATTAAATCAAAGCTTCTACTTTTATAACGAACCTGAAATTATAATGCCTGCTGAAAGGGGATAAAACTATCACTGAATCCAGTCTGCCTTCAACATAGATATTTCTTGTTTATTGTTATGTACAAAACCAGCATTTCACCATCTTAGGTTCTCGAGGTGCATGTTGTGTTATATTGTGCTGGCTTTTTGGATAACGTTTCTTTTCCTACATATGATACTTTGTATCTAGGTAGCAGATTGACAGATTCTATAGGAAGGCGTGGAAGTGAGTGCATGAGTGTGTGAGTATTTGAGTTATGAGAACGCCCCTAACGTGTAGGTGTAATATCTCATGAATATCAATTTTAAGTGAAAGCAACTTAAAATTTGATATTTATTAGTTACAATAATTTACTGAGATAGAAAAAATTAATGCACAAAAATAAAAAGCTTGTATGATTTGACAGGTAGGAATATTGTGTTGGGGATGATTGCCTGTGATAATGAAAGATAGCAAAACTTGGACAAAGATTTCACTCAAGAAATAATGTGGCTTTCCTATAAAATAGGAACGGAGAATTACAAGACGAGTTTCAAATAGGAGTTGCAAAGTATTTGAAACTCTCTCTCTCTCTCAATCTCTCTCAATAACAAGCTCAAATCTTTCTTCAATCCTCACATGGTGCTCAATTATTTTTAGGGTCTCCTCTGCCCACACACAAAAACTGCATTCTCTTGATGCATGTGATGGCCAGAATGTAGTGGTAGCATCTCGGAATATGAATTCACTTTGCAAACATGGCTGCTGTTTTGGGAATTTTTTTTCTTGACACAACTTTTTTGGGTTCAAATCATATCGATGAAATGGTGTTGTATTAAATTTTTAACATGGCCGTTTCAGGTTCATAATATTTTTAATACATATGCTCTTTTTTCTTAATTTCATGTGCTTTTAAGCACTATAGAAATTTTCATTCTGTTCCAAGATCTTTGAATCTTGGCCAAGATCACAGCCATTTTGGATGCTCTTTTGCGAAATTCGTTCGTGTGTTTTACTTTCTTAGTTCTTAATTCAATCATATGGGTGGTCTATCGATGATGCTGGGCAGCCATCAAAAACTTTTTTGCTCTTTCTAATGACAAAAAGGGGAAGAGTAAAGAGAAATTTGAGAGGAGGAGAAATCTCAATTCTTATTAGTACTCAGTTATATAGAAAATGAAATTCTTGTTCCCATTTTATAGTTAACCTCAAATCAAAGGGAACCACTATTCTCTAACCGCATAAAAATTTCATCAAAACCATATTAATCTAATCTGAAAATCAAATAAAATCCTAACTGCTCTTTTTTTCATAATTTATGTTTTTAATATTCTGTCGTTTCTCCTTAGAATCTGCTTTGCTTTCTATGTTTGTTTTATACCATGATCTTTCTTTAGTTGTTGAATGGTGTGCATAAATTCTTTTTTCAATTTGGAATATATAGTTGTTCTTTTCCAAGAAATCAGAAGAGAAATTCTTAAATATGTTGTAGGGTTTTCAAGTGCTAGCTACTGCATGCAAGAACATTCGGAACTATGCAACTTCTTCATGCTCTTATAAAATTCCCAGTTGTTTCTTTTACTATCTAATATGCTCATATGGCACCAAATGCAGGGAGATGTCATGCATATGGTGGAAAGATTCCTTGAATATGTCATCAAGAATCACCATGTCAGTAATGAATCACCAACCGTCATTCAGGCTTTTCAGATATCTCTGGTTAGTGTTTTCAAACTACATTTATTATATTACCTGTTTGTATGCCAATGTGTAAAACTTCATCGAACAATTTAAGTCAGGTTTATCAGGAAAGAATTAATTTTAAGTTCCTCCCTGTATAATCCCAATGTGATACATGCCAAAATGGTTGATCTTTGCTGAAACTTTTTTGTTTTTGAAAAGAAAAAAGATCTTTGCTGAAACATAGAGACATCAATTTAGCCTTTGGGGGGTGGGGGAATTCTCACTTCAGCTATAAGAGGTTACGGCATGCCTCTTGTTCTTTTCTCCAGTCTTCAAGTTTCATCTTGCTTTGAGTAGAAAATTGAGAAAAAGGATCAAACTTAAAGAGGTTAATTCATAAATAAGAACTTTGGAGTAACTTGAAGTATATAGGGTTTGGTTAAGAGCATAGACTATATGCAAAAAGCCAAACATGCTTAAAAGGTTTTTAATTATGCCCTTGTTTGAGCCCCATTTTTTGGTCAAAATGCATTTTGTAATAGTGCTCTGTTGAACAATGTGTGGTTAAAAAATAGGGAAAAGTTTTGGGTTTACGTATAATATTATTTTATGGGAGAGTGTGGTTGTAAATGAATTTTGAAAAAATGAGTTTTTGAAAAAATATGGGCCAAATATAGGCTAAGTAAAACTAAGCGGAATACATGGAATGTCCTTTTAATCATAGTAAAAATAAGGATGATGGGTTACGATATAGGATCATAGTGTGCCAATAAGCGATTGTTGTAGGGATTTAGGTTCGATTAATGGTATAGATGGGGATCTTGAGTAGGATGTAATACATATGATTGAAGTGTGTACGATGAAATTCTACATGGATTCTATGTTATTAGGTTTATGTGGTGATGACACAATTTTTACAACATTAGACGGGCTATTCTTTATGGTATCAACTATCAAGTGTTGGGCTGTTAGAAAAAACATAAATTGTCCATAAGATGAACTTAGTGTAAATGAGTATGTTAAGGTGGATGTGTTTCCATATAGAACGGAGAAAGGAAACAAGAATATATGGGAAATGCTATTTGTACACTCCCCTCACGAGGGGGCACACTTTTAACTTTATTTTTTTTTTTTTTGGGGACAAGGGCAGAGTGTACTTGTAGCAAAATGGAAGTGCACTAATAGGAGAAACAGGGAAGGACGACATAATTGATTTGATTTGGACGTGTTTTGCAAGGATTTAAAGAAAGTCATCTCTCAGGAGAGATGCAATCCAAGTAGAATATGTTTGAAGAGGGAGAAGCAAACCAAACTTGACGTGGCTTAATGTGTTTTCGATAGCTTAAAAAGTCTTAATTAGATATCTAGGTTTTTTATCTTTATAGGGGAGGTGTAAGCCTCGAGGCAAACTAATAAAGTAATTTACAATAATATAACAATATGCTCATAATTAACTATAAACAATCTTCAAAAAATCCATAACAAAACAATTTAACAAAATAAAAAGTCTTACTTGCAAACCAACATAAAACATATAAATAAAGTAGTAAATAATAAGTTCTCAAATTAGCACTTATAAAACAAAATTATAATAATAGAAGTAGAAACAACTTAGATATCTCTCATATCATCAGGATCTTTAAGGAAATTGTCAACGTCATCCTCCTTGTCTCCATCAATGTCTTCTCATTCTTTGCCATCATCATCCACTAGCAAACATGTATCCCCCTTCCCCTTTGCCTTCTCCTTCTCCTTTCCCTTTCCCTTTCCCTTTCCCCTTTAGTGTAAATACGTAAAAAGAAAATAAAGACCCGTAAACGTTAAAAACATTCTAGATTATAAAAAAGATAGCCCTAAAAGTTAAGAATAGGATCACAAAACAATATTATGATATAGCAGAAGTAGAAGCAACTTAAAGATCTCTTATATCATCACTATGAATAAGATGTTTAAGTAAATTGTCAACATAATCCTCCTCGTCGCCATTAGTTTCTTGTTATTCTTTGACATCATCTTCTACTAGCAATCATGCATTCTCCTTCCCCTATCCCTTCTGCATAAAGACATGATTACGCCCAAAAAATAATGCAGTAATTGTAAGACTTTAGGGTGTCGATTCCACAGAGAGATGGACGAATTGTTTAAAGGATTTGACAAACTAGGGTTTTTATGGTTGTGAGAGGAATTTATCAATTTGAATGAAATTTAAATATCAAAGTATGAGATTAATGAAGCACTGGAGTTCACTCTCCCGGATTGGATCAATCGACACCAATCATTCATGCATCTTACTCTAAAATCTAGGTTCCTATAATGCATTCCCACGTTAATCTATTGAAATCAGATTCAAAAGCTACCATATACACCAAGCATAAGGCGGTAAGGAATCACACCAATGAGATTAATTGAAATTGAAATTCAATAAATATTCGATCAAACTATAGAAAGAGCATGACTAATTCTATAAAAAAGCTAATAAGAATTAAACCACTTTCAAAACCAATTCATGAAAAAAACCTAGATCGATTTAATTTCACTTATAGTTCTAGAATTTAGGCTTTCTAAGAACATGTTCCGGTTTGATTTATTGAAATACGATTCAAGAAACGATTATATACCTCAAGCATAAAGCACTAATTACATCACATTAATAAATCAATTGAAGTATAAATTCAACAAATATTTTTATCATTCAATGGAAAAAATATAATTGAATCCATGAACAATTAAATAAAAGCTAAACAAATTTCAAAAGTATAATAAGGTAAAAATCTAAATCCTAGAATTATTCGATAATGAAAAGCACGTTACATGAATGAAAAGATGTTAAAATTCCTAAATCCAATCGAGTTCTTTCGTGGCTTTACCGATTAATTTAGTTTTTAATGGAGTTCTTGTGTCCAAGATGAGAGAAAAGAGATAGGAGATAAAGGGAGTGTGTTCTTGTCGAACTAGGGCTTAAAATCGAGTGCCAAATTGTTTTCAAAAGAGGTTGAACGGAATAAGGAAACTTGAAGATTCGGCTAAAAATTGTTCCGTACGACTGCTTTTAGTATTTTAGCCATATATTTCTCTCGATGTTCGATTAAGGTAATTTAAAGTACGTTGGAAAGCTAACACAAAGGGTTACAATTTTTCTAGAAATAGCTCTTTCCAAATTCGAACGTTTACTAGGTCAAAAATGGATCTTAATCTCCGGCTGAAAATCAGGAAAATCCTTATGCGGTCGGAATTTGATTTGCGAAAATATTATGATCATATTTAACTTCTTTTGACTTCTAATTCCACCCAATGGACTCCTAGCTTTCTTGAATCATCATTCCATCGCCCATCTCATCTTCAGAGTATTTGCAACTTGGTCTCTGAACTTTCACTTTCTTTCATTTAAGTCCTTTTTTGCTCTTTTCTTCTAAATTCCACCGTATTCATCCATTTGCAACGGAAATCAAAATGTAAGGGTACTTAATGCATTTAGGCGTCAATATATCATGCAAATACAATTATAAATGGATGAAAATATGACAAATTGTGCTATTTTCACACCCCCCAACTTGTTTATTGCTAATCCTTAGCAATTTAATGTAAAACAAGACAAATAAACGATTGGGTGATGCTAAAATTTAAATTGTTGAGTTTCAATTCAACTGCAATTCATGCACTTTTCAAACTCAACACCACAAGATGTTAACAATGTTATGATCATCAGGATATCAATACACGTGCTGAATATGTGTGTGTGTGTGTCAAGCCTTAGCTATCTTACTGCCAACCCTAACACATGCAACATCAAGTGTGTCTCGAGCTAAAGGTTCAGTTCCATAATTCATTGGTGTCAGAGTATTTAGTGCGGGTTTATCTCTATGAAGCCGAGAAAAAGGATATACACTCAAAACATGGAGGCTTTAATGCTTATGAATGAGCAACAAGCAAACATTGATCACATGATAGGCATACTGTTAAATGAGAATTCATTAACTTCATTTCACAATCCTACTTGAGATCAAAACAGTCAATGCAAAATGTTTGTAATGTGGCGTAGGTTGGATTATATGAAAAGAGGGATATAAAGATCCAAACACTTCCAAGCGCATAGCAAAGTATCTTATCACGCATTTCAATAATTCCCATTTTTCAATGAATGCATTCTTCCATATTTAAATCCCCAAAAACAATCAATATTTTTTTCTTTTCCTTTTTTTATTCTTTTTTCCTTTCGATTTCTCTCTCTCTATCTCTCTTTTTTTTTTCATTCAAATTCCCCTTCCTTTTGTGTTTTCTCGCATCACCCAAGCACTTATCAACTCTTATTATTTTCCTCGTTAATTTTCTTCTCAGCTGGACATTTAACACCTACTATACACTTGGAAGTATAAAGGTAGAAAAATGAATATTTATAGACTTTATTCCAATGTAAAGAGGTGTTGTTAACATAGGCGCATGAAAAGAAACGATTATGTGTATTGGCTCAAAGTGGCTACTAGGGGGTTGTAAACATAGGAAAAACTGGGTTGAAAGGATCAAATTTAATCCTAAATTGACCGTCATAATTTTTTCCAAATATAATCCACTATCTTACCACAGACCGTGTAATGTAATTATCAAAAGAAGTATCCTATCCACAGATCAATGAACACTTATTACATTTTTAGTATATCGTGGCTCTCAATCCTCACGAATTCTCACATGAAAATTTCAGCAAGAAACTCCTCTAGCTACATGTGTTAAACCACTATCTTACCACAAGACTTGTATGCACAGAAAGGATTCAACAAATGTCTCAACATCCAGACTTTCATAGATAACATTAATTCCTAGTGGCATTTATTGTCATTCAAGAACATGTAGCAAATTAGGGACTAACAAAAAAAAAAAGACCAAAATTCCATGAAAAGTATGCAGTTCACAATAAAATTCAAGTTAAACTCTCCCCCGAACTAAATATTTCATTGTTCTCAATGCAAAAACATGTCTGCCAAATCAAAGTAAGGAAAGATGTCACCTGAGTATCACAGTGAATCAGCATAAGCTAAAATACGGTTAACCTAAAAGTTCTCAATGGAAAGGATGATGCAGAAAATGAAAATAAACTGAAGAATGCATGGAATAAACCTAAAAAGAATGCAAAAAATAAAAATAAAAAGAAAGAAAAGGGAACGAACTCCCCAGGAGTTGCCTCCCAAGCAGAGCCTTTGTATATTGTCGTTGACTCGACTCAGTATTGCCTTCTTTAGCCCTCATCCAGCCGGGGCATTTGTAATCTTCTTTGCATTGCACCAAACTTATTGGAGATAAGCAACGGCGATGTTTCGTAACCCTGCAAATTATCAAAAGCAGCACAGATATCAGCATACTCCCTGTCATCATATATTGCTGGAATTTCAGAATTCAAAAGGAAAGAGCTCAAAGGGTTGGGGTCTATAATTGCAGGTGCTTCCTCCCGAACGAGTGCATGAATCATAAATGTTTGATGACACTCATCATCTGCCTTGAGTTGCTTCATGATGTGAAAGATGTTGACTTCTAAGGTCATGCTTCCAAATGATAGTTTCATTAGACCGTTCCTGCAATTAATAAGAGCACTAGCCGTGGCAAGAAAATGTCTACCAAGAATAATGAGAATCTTGGAGTTTACATTCACATCAACTTTCAAGTCCAATACCAAGAAATCCACGAGATAGCAAAATTTGTCAATTTGTACAAACACATCCTCAACTACTTCCCTAGGTTTAATAGGGGATCGATCGGCTAATTGTAGGACCACAGAAGTAGGTTTGATCTCACATAGACCTAACGTTGAGTATATAGCATAAGGCATGACATTGACACTAGTCCCTAAATCGAGAAGAGCTTGTGCAAACTCATGGTTTTCAATGGTGCAAGACACAGTGGGGCAACCAGGGTTCTTATACTTGGTTGGAATTCTTTGCTCAATTACCGCACTCATTTGTTCAATCAAGAAAACAGTTTTCATGACAGTGTTTCCTTTTTACAGTGCATAAATCCTTAAAAACTTTAGCATATGTAGGAACTTGTGAAATCACATGCAGGAGAGATTGATTTTTACCTGTTTGAAGTGTTCTAGGATTTCACTATGTTGTTCGATAGGTTTCGAGGTAGACTTGAGAGCTTGGGAGAATGATACTCTAGATGGATTCTTCACTACCTCCTCACTAGGCGTACTCTTTTCTGCGCTACTGGGGTCCTTTTCATTTTCCCTACATTTGGGGGTTGGTTCTATAACTCTTTTAGATTGAGTAGTTATGACATTAACTTTCTTAAGGTTGTTTTCTCCTGAGTATGAGGTTTGTGCCATATGTTGTCCCTTAGGATTTGATTGAGCCTGTGCTGGAAATTTCCCACATTCCCCTACAGCTAAGGCATTAGTGAACTTGGACATATAAGTTTTTATTTCTTTGTTTTCCTCAACAATTTGGGTAGTCATAGTCTCAAACTTCAGATTAGTCTTACTTTGTGCTTCTATGAACGCATGTAAAGTATCTTCTAAGGAATTCCTCGAGGATGTGGGTTAACGTGGGGGGTTGCATTGTAAGCTCTATTGAATTGGGCAGGTTGTTGGTTCTCAAACTTCTAGCTAAAGTTGAGGTGATTCAGCCACCATGGGTTGTGAGTTTCGGAATAAAGTAGGGCTTTTGATATACATTTAAAGCATTACAGTGTTCCTCATAAAGTCCCCTCATCTCAATATAAGTGGCACTCCCGTGCTAATGTGCTAGGTGATCACTCCACACACAAAATAAGGCTCTAAAGATTCAACACGAGAAACAGGTCGAGTTGTTTTTGAATCCTTAGTACCTAGGGCTTCAAGGTCTCTAGTGAGGGCTTCTACTTTTACTCTGAGGTTGTCTTCCACCCTAAGATGATAAATACACGTGCTATTTGAGTTTTCAGTGGGTCGTGACCTATTAGTACTCTCAGTGGCACTAGGTCCAGTCCAGGTATGAGCTTTTTTAGCTAAGTCATCTAGGTAGTCTATGGTCTCATCCGGATCTTTTTGCAAAAATTTTTCATTATACATCATTTCAACAAATTGACGCTCCCTAGACAATAATCCCTCATAGAAATAACTCACAATGCGCCAACTTTCATTATCATGGTGGGGGCAGAGGGCTTGCATTTCTTTGTACCTTTCTCACGCTTGATATAAAGTTTCACTCTCCTTTTGAGTAAAATAAGAGATTTGCTTTTTCAATGCAATTGTTTTATGGTGGGAAAAGTACTGGCCAAAGAATGCTTGAGTTATTTCAGCCAAAGTCCTAATCAAGCATGGTCTAAATGAATAATAGCTAGCTTTTTGCTCTTTCTTTAAGAGAAAACGGGAAAAATTTAATCCTGATTGCATCCATTGTATCACGTTGATTGTGTGAAAAGATGCAACCACCTCTTCAAATTTCCTAATATGCACGTATGAGTTTTTATTTTCAAGACCGTGAAAGGTTGGGAAGAAGTTGGATCATTCTCGATTTAAAGTCCATACGTGGCTTGGAACAGTATAATCAGTTCACAATCTATGGATTGGGTGATGCCTCGTCGTATAGAGGACGTGATACGGGCATGGCGTAGAAAACTTCGGGATAAAGATAGCAAACTAGTATGGCACCTTATCCCGGGTTGCATTGTTTGGTGCGTGTGGAGAGAAAGGAACAGCCGTTGCTTCGAAGATCAAACAAAGACAAGAGAGCAGATAAGAGAAACATTTTACTTTACCTTGTATTCTTGGTTTAATGCTGTGGCTAGAAATCCTGTAGATGGGTTGCCTAATTTCATGTTTTTCCTTAATAGCTTAAAGTGATTGTACACCCCCCGTGTATTCTCTTTTAAGTAATAAAATTATTTGATTACCTATCAAAAAAAAAGTCCATACGTGGCATATTAGGTGGAAATATGATGTATGACGATGTAGATGTGCGTGTGGAGTGGAGATAATCGTGCAAAGTCCTAGTTGGTGCCTCTTCGTGTTCACAATCAGTTATGGTGTTATGTGATGTAATGTGCGTGCCAACAAATTCAGTATCAAAAAAAGGGTTAGGAGGAGATTCAAACACTGGTGGCAGCCTTGCAATGAATCGCCCTTACTCGTCTTGATCCCTGGTCATAAAGCACGAAAATAGGGTTTTATGAGAAATAATAAAATACGAAGTAAACTAACGAACGTTTACTAGGTCAAAAGTGGATCTCAATCTCATGCTGAAAATCTGAAAAATCCTTATGCGGTCGAAATTTGATTTGTGAAAATATTATGGTCATATTTAACTTCTTTTGACTTCTAATTGCACCAAATGGACTCCTAGCTTTCTTGAATCATCATTCCATCGCCCATCTCATCTTTAGATTATTTGCAACTTGGTACCTGAACCTTCACTTTTTTTCATTTTAGTCATTTTTCGCTCTCTTCTTCTAAATTCCACCGTATTCATCCATTTGCAACCTAAATCAAAATATAAGGGTACTTCGTGCGTTTAGACGTCAATATATCATGCAAATACAAGTATAAATAAATGAAAACATGATAAATTGTGCTATTATCAAGACATAAAAAAGAAAATAAAAAACCCGTAAAACATTCTAGATCGTCCAAAAATTGCCCAAAAGCTAAGGCCAATAACAAACTGTCCAAAAAACGCAAGACAAAGGGGTGACGTTTTAGTCCCCTTGAGGTTTAGCCTTGAGGAGTAAGCTTACTAATGGCCCTCTAGAAGTAAGCTTTGAGGTGTTCTGTAGAAGCCTTCCGTGAGGCAGGAGGTGTGAGCCTCAAATATATTTTTTGTTTCTAAGGATTTGTTTGCATTGGATGTTCTGGTACATGTAGCAATTGATCAAATGGGAAGGCAAAAGGGGATTCATGTAAGCCAAATCTCTTGAAGTACAATTTTACTGCCCTAGGGAAATCTATGATCTTAATTTGATTATTCTTTGTAAGTATATGAACCATGAATTCCTTCTTATTCTTGAGATAACGCTTTAATTTGGGTCTGCCAATCAGCAGTTCTGAAGAAATTCAGTTCTCCTTTAGATTTAGAACCAAATGTAGTTTATCTAATGTATCTTCTACACGGAACCTTTTTTGGGTTCTTTCTCCTTTGGAGTCCACGGTAGGGACTACCTTTACACTTTGGAAGATTTCCTGGTTGGAGGCTGCCCACTTATCGATCATGCAATATTCTTCCTCCATATCATTTGTTGTTCTCTTCTAGTTTCATGTACCAATGTAAATGAACATTTACAGATAAGTAGAATGCAGTTTGATTCCTTTACATATAATAGGGAGTTCTGGCCGTTTTATGCTGTGATATATGTGCATCTCTGTTCTGCTCTCGGAGACATAGGAAGAAGTACACATTCTGATTATGCTTTTAGTTTATGCGTGATGATTCACTACGATTTTGATTGTTTCATTTCTGTGTGTGCTGTTATTTTGTCAGTGTTGGATTGCAGCTTCTATCTTGAAACAGAAAATCGATAAGAAGGATTCACTCATGATAGCAAAACAGTATCTGAATTATGGATGCACTGAAGAACAGGCAACCCATGTTTATTCAAAGATGCGGCTGTTGAAGAAGATGTTTTTGCAGTGTTCAGAGAACAAGGAATCTAGAAAGGATTGCTTGTTATCGACAGAAGATATCAGCAAAGAATCATGTAAAGCTGATGCAGGGATACCACAATATTCAGCAGTTAACTTGCAAAATGCGAAATCTGATATTGAAAGATCAGCAAATAAAGAGCCTTCTGGTTATCTGATTGTTTCAGAGCATAAAAATCCAATGAACGACAAAGTTGCTGAAAGTGAAACTGAAGAAAAGTTAAAGAAAATCCAGAAAAAGTGTGACAAGCGGTTGAAAATACTTATTCAGAAACAGCAGGACGAAGTTAAGAAATTCCACAGAATTTGGGAGGAGAAAAGGGAGCAATTGGAGATCGAACACAAATTGGAGTCTGCCTGTATCCGGTCTATACATGGTCAAGGGTCAGTAGCGATCGACAAACTCCAGATTTTGGATTCTGACTTTGCAAAGAAAATGGAAGAGTTCAAGCGCTTGAAGGACATGCACGTTAAAGATCTTGAAGCAAATCAGTTATCTGCAAGGAGTTACGAGAGACAAAAGGCAGCCAGTTGGTTGGCCAAAGCAAAAGCAAAAGCCTGCCATATTGAACTTATAGTTGTTGATGAGCCAGTTGGATCTCAATCTGAAGACAAGGTTGGATGCTCTGAAGCCCATGCACATATTACAATCCGTGCTCCTGAAAATGCTGCCCCCATCTCTAAAAAGCATACTGAAGACACAAATCCTAATGAAGATGTGCATCTCGTGCAAGGGAATGTTGTGGCGCCATCTAATACGTTTGTCATTGCACATGCTGAGGCTGTAGGTAGTACTCTGCCTACTGAAACTGCCAATCATCTGTCAAGTATAACTTCTGAAAGGGAGTTGGGGACATCTTCCTTTGAGAGGACATTGATTGCTGAACTGCCCTGTGAATTGATTCATTCAGGTAATACCACTGGGGAGATGGCTTCTGGGAACTTGCCTGGTTCTGGAGAGCTGGTTTCTGTTGAAATTCCAATGGTTCAGGTGAGTGAAGAGATTCCAACAGAGGTTCCTGCAACTGTTTCTGAAGATGTGATTCGTGTTCACCCTGTAGAACATATTGATGTTTCCGATAAGTGTGTTAAAGGAGATATAATTGATTCCAATTTATCTGATGATGTGAACCAGAGAGATGGTAATGAGTCAATCAGTGGCTATCAAAGTTTGGTAGAACAATCATTGTTACCTCCGACAGGAACAATCATTGCTCCTTCAGACGGTTCTTTGCCCCCAAGTCATGTAATATCCTATTCCTTTCTGAATTGTCTACATTTCTGCTATTTTATCTCGTTTTCCTGTCTGTGATGCATCAAAGAGTAACTCTATCTATCACTAAGTTACGCTATCCTATACAATCTATGGTGTCTAAAATAGTTTTCTAGATTGATAGTGCTAGTATCGTTTATTTTGGAGAATTGTCTCGAAATAATCTGGACTGGCTATTCGCCATGCATTGGTATTCGAGTACATGTATTGATTCCTGCAGCCCTTGATTTGGTAACAAATTTGAGAGAGAGGGTGGATCTATTTCAGCTTAGAATGTACCTTTTATGATCCATGCAAACTTCCCGAGCTTTTTACAAATCTAACTATAGAATTACAACTGATTAAACAAATGCCATTTGATCAGGCACTACTAGAAAGTTCAACATCTGGGGAATTTCGGGACGAAGATGCACCAGTCTCAGAAAATGAAAGTGCTTTGCAGGTTGAAGTTGCAATCTCCAAACATATTGACTCTGAAAACCCTGCACCGTCTAATGATCACGTTCCAGAATATCGAAGTACTTTGCAGGTTGAAGATGGAATCTCGGATTGTATTGACTCTGAACCCCCTACAGAGTCTAATCAGGCACTGGTGACCGAGAATCATGAGCGGCTTCAGCCAGTTTCCATTGATGTATCTCTCAGATGTGATCAAACACCGGCTACTGGAGTTGAACATGAAAACCATGATAGAGAAAGAATCCTAATTCCAGAAACTTCTCCTCAATTATCTGGGGAACTAGAATCACTTCCATATCAAACCGCATCTCAAAATGGGCAAGATTTGGTAGAGCATCCTCCCGTTGCTCTTATGGGTTCAACTCTTGATTGCCATCACCTTGATTTAGGATTAGTTAATCAAATTGATCACGTGCCAAATAGTGAATTGTTTGCCTTCTCCCAAAGTAATGCTTCTATGCCCCAAGCTGTAGTAAATACGGCTGAACTTCCAAATCAAGTTATTCTGCAATCTGAAGTAGATTTATATCATGCTCGCGGATCTGGCGACCTTACATCTCAGCCTACTTATCAAGTCCCCACTTGGTATCCAACTTCATCTTTGCATGCTGAACCACTTCAAAATGAATTACTAAGGATCAGTAAAGAGACAGAAAAGGCAGTTAAAGTTCATGAAGATTTGGTTAGTATCTGAATTGCTTCGTAATCATATAATATTCTGTTCTATATGTTCTAATTTTACTAGACATCTCTCATTTTGCAGAAGTTGTTGCTGAAATCTGAGTGTGAGAAGGAGATACAGGAAGTTATTGCTCAAATACATAATAAATACGAGGCAAAACTTCATGATGCTGAAACAGCATTTCAGCTGAAAAAGAATGAACTTGATAAGAATCATAATAAAGTTCTTATGAATAGAATATTGGCTGAGGCTTTCAGGTCTAAGTGTTTGGATCTCAGGCCTTCTGGGCCTCCAGGAATGCAGCGAGGTAATAATTCCTTGGTGATACCCTTTTGAAATCGCAAATAATCTTTTCTTAGTTTAGAATGCTGGTATCTGAGTTGAGCATATAATTTTGACATGAGTTCAGCATGCTTAGAATTCTCAATACCATGTCTGTATGAACTACTGATGAAAGTCCTTTTCTCCCACCTAGAGATTTGAACTTGTAGGCATTAGAGATGGTCTACAAAGACTATGCCATGTTGAAAGAGTTCTACTGTGAACTTCCTTTTGTAAATAGCGTGTCTCAAGGTTAACCTAATTATCTCAATTAACGTGCTCCAACCAATTCCCCAAAAGAGCAGGGTGGTAGTGCAGTTTGTATTGGCAAATTAGACATCTGGGGTTGAAGATATTTGCATGCTATGCAATCAACGATTCCATGGATTGATGGGTTTGCTTGCTTGGCTAAGAGCATTCATTTGATGGGTTGCCCATGTAATAGATAATAATAGACACAGCTCAAGCTGTAAGTTTGAATAAACTGATATGGTAGTGCAAAAATTTTAATACTAATAGATCACATTTGGTACATATTATAGAATTGGAGGAATAGGATTAGGAGGGATAGGATTGGGGAGGATATTATGGTGGATTGTTCTAATATGGTGTTGGTATTTGGTGCTACACCGTATTAGAAAAATGTACAGTTATTGGAAAAAAATAAAAATAAATTATTACAATACTTCTTTAATTAAAAATTATTTTTCGAACTTATATGTAATTTCACTCATAAGCAATTTTATTACTTAAAAGTGAATTGTTTTGTTGTCAGTAATTTTTTTACTTCTAAATGAAACTTTTTGCTTTTTTTGTGTATTTTCCTTATAAGTGACTATCTCATTAGTAAATTTTTTTACATATAAGTTATTTTTTTACTTAGAAGTTATTTTTAAGTTATAAGTAATATTTGTAACTTATAAGTGATTTTTATTCATGATAAATTATTTTTCTAATACACAATTTTTTTCCTTAAAAATGATTTTTTTTTTTTTTTTTAATTTAACACAAGTTTTGCTTAAAAATGAATTTTTTACTTATAAATTTTTTTTAGTTATAAGTTATTCTTTTACTTATCAGTGAAATATTTAGTTTCTGTTTACTTGTAAGTTTACGCATTTCAATCAACTATTTTTCTTCTTAATTATCAATTGGTGAATAAATAATACGTGTCTAAACCCACCTATATATTGTATTAATTTTATACAGTTGTCTAAAAGAGGATAACACCCCTTAGATTAAGCCCCTTTTTGACAACCGTTATTTAAAAATTCTTTTTTCTTTACTTTTTAACCACATTCTTATAAAAATCACTATTCAAAATATTGATTTGGCCAAATAATAGCCATCATATAGGAGCTAATTTAATTGGGTACCAACTAACAAATGCCGGATAAGATTAGATAAGATTACATTAGTCCTTATCCGGTCTAATACGGTGCATCAAACATGCCCGTAATGTATATCAATGGCAAAGACTATAAAGGGCATGGTCTGGGAATGCCACATGTTATACTGGATTTAGTTATACTGGTTTTTGGTGCATTTCATAATTGTATATGCCATGTTGGGTCACCATTTCTAGTAGTAAAGTATAAATTTGTCATCTTTGTGGAAATGAAAATCATCTTAAAATTGCAGTTCCAACTTTTCTTTCTTGACCAGCATTTGTTTGATTATTCTCAATTGCTAGCTGTATTGAATTAGTTTGAAGTAATTCTCTATTTCTGTAAAGACGTACGAATGTTCATTACTAGAAAATTGAAATAAATTTTATATATGCATATACGGAATCTCCAGAACCAGGTATCCACCACCACATGCAAGATTACCTCGTTGCTTTCTATCTAGGTTTTGGGTCGATTAAATTATATTCTAGTTTTACTCAATATCGTTCATTTCTTTTTATATTAAATATCTGTAAAATTATACAGAGTTTCCAGAGCCTGGTGTCCACCACCACGTGCAAGATTACCTTGTTGCTTTCTATCTAGGTTTTGGGTCGATTAAATTATATTCTTGTTTTACTCAGTATCGTTCATTTCTTTTATATTAACTATCTATAAAATTGTCTGACTAATTAAAGATGCATTTCTATATGCACTCAGCGAGGTGAACTTTGGTCTCATAGTCTCATTCTCTTTGCAGCTATGTCTTCCAGTTTCATGCAGCAGCTATCAATGCAACGCCCTGTGAGACACCCAGTATCTTCAGTTTCCCAACCTCAGACTGTGGTTCCAACTGTACAGACTTCACAACAGCTACCTTTGCCAAATTCTACTGTACCATCCCCCGTCTTTGGTTCCTCTTCAAGAAGCCAACCTCGGATTGTGACTCCAACTGTACAAGCTGCACATCAGCCATCGCTGCCACATTCTGCAGGACCTCCCCCTGGCTTTGTTTCTTCTTCAAATTGCCAACCTGTTGCCAGCCAGCATAATCCCACTCCAGCCGTACAAACTGTACGCCGTGCATCAGCTCGTTTATCAGGCTTACTGACCAGACCACCACTCATAAGTGCCATCACACCTTCCACGGGTAATCTGCGCGTGGGAGAGGTCCGTTCTCCAGCCCCACATCTTCAACCTTTCCGGCCCTCAACATCTGCCTCTGCAGCCAGTCTCCCTTTGCATTCACATGCTATGCCTAGCCAGCAGTCACCAACGCCCCGTCCTGCAACTTCTCCATTTTCTCAGCACACCCCTCAACAAACATCACATTCTCAGGTGCTGCCATTGCCGACAATAAATCCCATTTCTCGTAATAGACCTCAGCATGAAAGTAGGCTGTCAGCTCCTCATAACTCGTCTCAGTCTGCCGTTCAGTTGCTTATGGACATGGATCAACGTCCTCTTGTACATGGACATAATACTTTTGCAACTTTACCAGATGTTGGTACAAATTTTGGTTCGTTGGAGCAGTCCAACCTTGAAACGCTTGGTAATGTACAGGGTACACTTCCCTCTTCAGTTGCTACAGAAGACGTTGTTTATTTGTCTGATGAGGACTGATGTTTCAGAGAGCTGTACCACGACCAACTCCACATTTACAATGCTAACTTGGAAGGTATGATTCATTTTACAATGCCGACTTCATGTTAGGTTCGAACTGTTTTTCATTCATGTTTGGTCGAGTTGAGAAGGCCTCCAATGGTCTCTCAACATTTTGTAAGTCTACAATTTTAACGATTTCTTCCTTCGTCCATTGGACTGCCAGCTCTGGTGTACATCGTATTTTTACCCAATGTGTGTATTTATGAAATTCAGTTTCTTTGACTTTGAAATGCATAAATGAATTTTGTCGAGTGATTTAGACTACGTGTTTATTTAAATTATCGATTTTGGTCGTTTACGAGGGTATGATTTTGGATGATTTTTAATAGATGTCTTCGGAGAAGTTCAACTCATGTCTACAAGTTTATTAATTGGTGGTTCTTACACGTTCCTTGGTGAAATTTTGAATTTATTAATTTTTTATATGAAAATTTTTACTCATATAAGTGATATTTTAATTAAGTGTAATGTTATTTAGTATCACTAGTCAAAAGTAAACGTGCATTGCACGTTGTTTAGAATTGCTTTATAAGTGCCGTAAAAATAATATTTGAAGATACCATAATTTGGGAGATAGTTGTGAAAAATTGTTGATGTGAAATGAACTTTTTATTCAATGAGAATTTCTTTGTACACTATATTTTTTATATGATTAGGGGTATCTGATTTAATTAAATCCTTGTGTACTTGCTTCACAATAACCTACTTTACATACGCATTTTGACATTGATAAAAGAATTAATAGTGCAAGTTCAACACCTTTAATGTTGACTAAATTATAATAAATTACTGTTAATTAAAGGATGGATTCAGAATTATTAAATATACCAGAACTTAAGTTGTCGGATTAGAAAGATAAAAGTTTTTTCCTTTTTTTCCTTTCTCTTATCTCCGCACCACCTCAAATTCTCACTATCAAATTGAGACTTAGAATAGTGTTCAATCATCAATGCCATTGGTATTAGATAACATTATTTTTTTAATTAAAAGTAATTCTTTTATATATATATGTTAATTTTTAACTTCAATAGTGAAATATTAACTTGTAAATAAAATTTTAAGTTGAGTATTATTATTTTTTATTTATAAGTAAATTTTATACTTTTTACTATTTTTTATACGCGTTAGTTTTTTACTTGTAAATAAACTTTTAATTTATAAGTGAGTTTTTGTCTTATTATTATTATTTTTACGTTGTAAGCAATTTTTACACAAAAGTGAGTATTTTACTTATAAGTTAAATTTTTAAAGTAATTTTTTTAGTTATTCTATTTTTATTTACAAGTTAGTTTTGAACAAGTTATGTTGATTGAAATAATTATTTTATAGAGTTTAAAATTGGAAGAGAATTTGAACAGTAGTCAATTTACCGATTTGGTTGGATGAGAAATACCGTCAAAATGACACCATCTGTGTTGGGTGATCCAGTGCCAAACAAAAAAAATAAAAAAATAAAAAAATAAAAATAATAATAATAATAAAAAATCCAAAATCAATACAAATAAAAATAAAAATAATGATCAAATTTTTCAGCATTTCATAAAATGATCGAAACCGGTGAAAAATTACTCCCTAGTAGGCCCTAAGAAATCTTTCGAGTTAATAATCCAAATGGTCACTAAACTTTGTAAAAAGTTTTCACGGGACCATTGAAATTTAAAAATCACCTAGATCATCATTAAACTTTGTAAAAGATTTTTACGAGGTCACTGAACTTCGCAAAAGGTTTTCACCAGGTTACTTTGCAAAGTTCAATGACCTTGTGTAAATTTTTTGCAAAGTTCAGTTATGATTGATTGATTTTTAAAATTCAATGATCTCGTGAAAACATTTTACAAAGTTCAGCGACCATTTGGGTTATTAACCCGAATCTCTCACAACTTATAATCAATGTCTTGGTTGATTAGTTACGAGATTCTCTAGCCTTCATGCCTTGAAGAGTGTCAAGAACTCAAGGAGAAAATTTATGTTTATGGACATGTTTTGTTTTTATTCTCGTTGACCAGACAGTATTAAATCTAACATAACCAACGGCATGAGATGGCATTATCATTTAGCAAGAACACATTATAATTTGAAGTATAAATCATTTTGTTAAAAAAGGTTAAATTCCAACCTTAAGATCCCTCACTATCCCGCCCCTAGAACTTTGTGAGGGAGATAAATAGCGGGATGTGTCCCAACATGCCAGAGAACAAGAACTGTCTGTACGCTGTGCCTACAAGGAGTCCAATTTCATGTCTCAAAAATTGAACCCCACACTGCGGCTGTCAGCAAGGCGTGAGATAACCTCACTCCTGTCATTTGTACCACTGAGCTATGTCCTGAGGAGCCAAAACAAATATATTCATTTTCTTGGTAGCACAAGGAATAGCAAGTGTTTAAGTTACAATTTCTCTTAACAAGATTATTCTTAAATATAAAAAATAATGATGACTACATAACAATTTAGGTTACTTTATAAGGAATGATAATAAGACTCAATGTTAAATGTTGGCGTAAATTAAAGCAGAAATGACAATACAAATTTCAGTTCATTATGTATGTATGTATGTATGTATGTATGTATGTGTATAAAATTTTGATACGGATTCTTAAGTCTTTACATTTGTGATTTTCCATTAGTTTAATAACAGAGATTGAGATAAGATTATCTTTTGCATTTATTCTATTTTTAAGAATACAGCAATAATATGAATTTGGAGACTTATTTTAAAATTAAAATTGTTACGTGTTGACACACTTGGTCGACCCTCTGGGGCCATGGTCCACTCATGCCGAACCACGTGGCATCCTAGGCGAAGCCCCTAGGCCAATAGAAATCAAGCAGCATACAAAAGCAACACCCATGACGCAGCCCAAATGCTGGCGTCAAAGTGAATAGGCCGAGGTTGTTTGTCTTGTCGATGCCCTTCACCCCGAGGCCCGAACGCCTTAAGCAGTACTCCTTCCCAAAGATTCGGTCTTACACAAGGATCCTTCCTGATTAATTAATGAGACACCCATCATGGAGTGCAAGCGTCTTATCTTGTCAAAATAGCGACAATTCTGCCAACTAATAAATGTGTAACAGGATAGGAAGTCAAGTGTGATGCCGCGTGTACTCCCAATCGAGGGCCACGATCTAATTTGTAATACCATAAAGACTTCCCCATGCATCTTTCAGAAGGATAATGCAAGATTCAATACAAGAATCAAGATTACACATTCTTTACTCTCTTAATACACTTTATTCAAGATTACACATTCTTTACTCTCTTAATACACTTTATTCAACAACCTTTTTTACCATCTTGCAATACAACACAATACGAATTCATACGCCCATTCTACGAATATCGATTGGTAATTATTGTACAATCGTTATGCAAACATCTCGCCAGACTCCGAATGTTCTTGTCCCATGCTCTGAACCGCTCCCACGCCCTTGATCTGTTCATTTGATACCGTTCATGTGTTTTAGCGTGTTGGACTAGGTTTACGTGTGTGCAAGTGAGTTCGATATCTGTTGACAATATTTTTTGTAGTCAACAATACCGAACGTTCTTGTCCCATGCTCTTGAACTGCTCTCACGCCCTTGATCTGTCCATTTGAGGCCATTCTAGTGTCTTAACGTGTTGGACTAGGTTTACGTGTGTGCAGGTGGGTTCGATATCTGTTGACAATATTTTTTGGGGTCAACAATAATAATCGATTTTCCAACTGCAAATTTTCAGGTTATTTTTGTTTGAGACATCTGTTTATGTTTATGAGAGTTGGAAAGAGTTGAATGGATAAGATAAAATCTTAAAAATGAGTATATGATGTAATATTAAAACAAATGGAATTTTTCTAAAATAGAAGCAGATAAATAAAGAATGACTTGCTTTTAACTTTTTATTAAATTGCCTCGAACACCTAACTATGTGAGCTGGATTTCCAGGTGGACAATCCCGAGGGTTGGGCGATATAAGAGTTGAAATCACTTCGAATTTAGAAATCTTGATCCGTATCAAGAGGTTTAGTTGTCAAGGGGATCTATCCAGCCATAGATCCTTTAGATTCAACATCAACCATGCTTAAACCTCGAATTTACGTCTCTATATTGGATACAATAATAGAGGTGTCCTATGACATTCGAAGTGTTTAAATGTATTTCTTGTATATGTCAAATCTTTAACTTCCTCCAAAGAGACCAACCATTTACCTTTTGCACAATGTCAATGATAATTGATAAGTAGCCTCAAAACTTATGCTGTCATGTTATTTTCAATATACTAAAGAATGTCTTAAAACCTCAAAAATGTCTATATAGATGTATTAAACAAGAATTCTCATATCCTTTTCAATATTAACCAATAAAATAATGTACAACAAATCCAATACTTCTTGATTGTAAATATTTGAACTGGTTGTTCACTTTTTTGGACGAATTATGCACATACTTTCCTATCATTCGTCATCTACAGAAAAATCAGGTTCAGCTGGTTTCTGCAACGAATTCACTGCCTGGAGTCTGATCCCGAATGCTTATGGAGACCTCTTCTACTAGCAGCCAATCTTGCTACATAAATGGCAAAGCCAGAACCCGGAGGGGCGTTCTCATCCATTTTTCCTTTTGACGATTCCATGTCAGTGACTAAATTCTCTAACTCCCGTAGTTCGGCTGCACTCTTCCGTTTCTTATACCTTCTCCACGTGGCTTGTATAAAATATGCAGCGTCCGCCACTGGTGAGAGTAGAATCTTTACTTGTGCCTTTGTTTTTTGCTGTGTAGTCTTCGAAACTGTGATGCAACAAACTTTAAGTCTTCTGCTCTGAGAGCAAAAGCCTCGACTTCGCATATGACTTCGACAGTACGAGTTGAAGAAGGGAGAATAACACTTGGACGTGGGTCGAGAGTCCATGTTAGGAGTTCCTCGTCACAGAAGTGGCCAGGACCTGTTGACATGTTAAAAGTGCAGCCCAATTCAAATAGCTCAAAGAATGAAGTCCAACTGGACAATTCAGGATAAAGGCCCAAATAGGGTTATTAATGAATGCAGTGTAAGTCAAACGCTATAACACCATCGTCCAAACTTACAAGACGCCCAAGATCTGAGCGAATGAAGTGCCTTGCAGTCGCCCAGAGTTGTAACCCCATTCTCGCCCAAACCTTCGAATCGCCCAGGATCTTAGCAAACATAAGGTATTATGGTTATCCAAAAGTACAGTTATCGAAACAGTTATTGGGTAATCTTATCACGTTCCACGATTCAAAAAGTTCAGTTGAAGACGGT